TTGGTGTCGGGTGTCCTGGGCCCGTCGGTTGACACGAGCAAATCGCCTAGCTAGTTAGTTAGTGAGTCGGTCAGGAATTCAGAGTAGACCATAGCAGAACATGAAAAAATAACAGAACCTCTCTAAGTTAAGTTTATTTTACAAGTGTTAATAGTATAAGTTTAATAGTAATAAAAATCAACAGTTTAATTTTAGTCCAATAAAAGTATTGGTTAATCTTTTTTCGCAAAACACCTTCTTTTTGCGCCGGCCTATCCATACACATCATCTGGTGGCAGCACTAACCCATTAGTTACATTATAACAGTGGGCGAACTCACGGATTCCGGCCTTAAAAAAAGGGGGGTCTGTTTGTCATTAAGGTAACCAATTTCTTTTTAAATAATATAACAGTGCGAAAAGTGTGCATCCGCCGTTTAATTTCGTGTCGACCTTTAATTGTCACCGCTGCCGTTCGATCGTCCTCTCCGTAATTTGATCGCTCAGCGCTACTGCGGTCGCCGTTGAACGTCCTACCATCGTTTTTCACCGCCGAATATCAAACCGGTACGTTTAGGAAGTGCCGCCGTAGTGACCTACTATTATCGCGCCGCCGTAGTAACCTAGTTTTTGCGCCGCCGTAGTGATCTACTATTATTGTGCCACCGTAGTAACCTACTTCTGAGCCACCACCGTCTTGTTTATTAGTAATATTCCGAATATCAGAGCATCTTTATTTCAAACAACAAATTATCAATTAATTTAAACGGCAGTTCAATCAACAAGGAGCGTCTTGATTTCAATTGACAGTGTGTTTTCTATTCACATCATCTGGCCATTCAAGTATTCAACAGTCAATCAATTCTATCAGAACATCTTTAGAAAACCATCATCATCAGATATGTATTTTTTTGGCAACAATATTGTAAGTTTTTTTAAAAAAAAAAAAAAATATATATTTATTTATTAGTAGTATGCTTGCATAAAAAAAAATTTTCTTTTTTGGCATTTCGAAAAAAAATTGTTTTTCTTTTAAGGGAAGAGAAAGCTTAATTTTTAGTACTAATTTGAATAAGATATTTATCAATTATTATTATACACATTAAAATATTTAAGTTTTCATCAACATGTCCCTTAATCGTTGTATACCGTTGTATAGTGGTATTATATAGTAGTTGGTATATATTTATATATATTTAAAACAATTTTTTCAGAAAATCTATTCTATAAACCATATATTTATATTTATTGCATAAACCAGAAATATTTTATGAGTAACTCTAGTAGTAGTAGTAGGAGTAGCAGTCCTGTTGACGAAAAATAAGCTGATCTAGATTTCAATCTATCCTATAGAGCTCCAATTCCCGAACCTGCTCAACGAAAGTTGCGCTCAAATTCCTCTATAAAAACATTATTGGTTAAAGGTGATGATCTTCTACAAAGCTCTTCCAAACTTTTAAATACAACTTCTGGTAAACTCGGGGAAACCGACAGTTCTCTAGGACAATGTAGTAATACTTTATTAAAATCTGATTTACCTGAAAATCTTTTCTCTAATTTTAATGAAGCAGGCTCATCCGAAATACCTACTGTAAAATATATTCTCAGCGCAAAGTCTTCACAACCGAAATTAGAAGAAAATCAAGAAGTTCAACCAGATAATATGGCTTAACCATCGTACATGACTATTGAGCAGGCCCTTCGAGTAATTCCGGTATTCGATGGAGAGAGTGTAGACGCCAATCACGCATTTCAAAATGCTTGTGATTTTGCAATATTAAATATTGATCCGACGTAAATGAGCAACTTTATAAAGGGAATTACAACGAGGTAACAGGCAAAGTATATAGGGCTATTCGATACAAGGAAATTAAAATATACAAAGACTTAGTCAATGCATTAAATGCAACCATAGAAAGGAAACATACTTTAGCTCATTTACATTCTAAACTAGCTATGTTCCGGTTAGCACAAGGAGAGACAATTCAGCAGTATTCCGATAGAGCAGAGCAACGACATCCTAGAAACATCTATGTCTACAGGAGGATTAACTAGTACAAGCAAAATTACAGGATTGCAGATACTTACAGCCTTCATAGAGGGACTTCCACATGATATTCGTATTATTGTTAAAGCAAGAAACCCAAAAGAATTAGCAGAGACAGTCATATTGCTTTGGAGGAAGAGACATCTCGGGCATCACAAAAAGAGATACGAAAGAACATCAATGACCAACGGATAAGTAGATATAAATCACAAATCAATAGAAGCACCACAGCCGCATCAAACATTAGACCACCAGGTTCCTGTTTCTTATGTGGGCGATGTACTCGTAGATGAAACTCAATGTTATCAGCTTAAGGGAATAAATGAATTTGCTATTGATACTATTTGATTAGTAACTCTTCAAATTCGATTTGGCATTTACACATTATTCCAGGTAGTACGGGATGACTTTCCTGTTCCTTTTGATGGTATAATAGGAAAGCCTTTTCTCGTTAACAATGGACTAGCAATTGATTATCATACATCAGTAGTCTCAGCATCTATCACCAAGTCACTTCAGCTCCCACCACGTTCAAAAACTCTCATACCGATTTCGACTAAGGAACCAGAAGGCTCTTCTTTACTCATTCATTCACAAAATATTCAAAAAGGATCAATTCGTTTAGGCAACGTATTAAACAATGTAAAGGGAAAAGAAATTATCATACTCGCAATCAACTCAGCCGAACAATCAGTCACCTTAAATCCCCCGAGACTCGAAGAGTTATCATTCGAAAGTTTTAATGAATAAATGGACACATTCATCCAGCTCTTTTATCGCATAAACAATATTTAACACGATTCCGAGAAATTAAAACCTATTGGTTCAAATTTACCGTTCCGACTAGAGGAGAGTTCTCTATAAGCAAATTAATTTATATTTCTACCATCTCAGTGGTAATGGTAGATGACACGTTTATTTTCATCTAATGTATCCCTTTAATCGACTATAATGTTTTTTCAACTTTCAAAGTTATTTCATTTCCTATTCACTAACAAGATGATATATACTTTTTAATTACTCCATCTGTCTCGGTAATAGCTCTCAGTAAAAATCATGAATACTTTATACAGTTAACGGAAACCCAACGCGAAAATTGTAAAGTCTTAGATTCTTCATTTTTTTGCCCGGATACTCATTTACTGTATACAGCTACTAATAGCTTTTGCAGTCTTCAACCCTTATTAGGACGACCAATTATACCAACACTTTGTAATATCCACTATATAACTATAAAATCCGCTATGTTCAATCGTTTGTCCAAAACTAACACTTGGTTGTTTTTGGCAAAAAATAAAAGCGTAACCATAAAATGTAATAATGGTGAACCCCGTATTATAAGATTAGATGGTACAGGACAGGTAACACTTAATCAAACATGTAATTTGTATGCAAATCAAATCATTCTCATACCTTCTCAAACCATAACTAAAAATATAAGTCAAGATCTTTATTTACCGATAGAAGTTAGTTACATTAAAAATTTCACTCTATCCTTGGACGAACAAGATATTTTAAAGAATTACAAATTTCCCGCACCTCTGAATGATAAATATCTCATAGAAATCGAAAAACATTTTAAATCGTTGAAAGAAATCGAAAGTGAAGCCAACCATTTACACAATTTTAAATCGATACAAACAAACCATTCTATTCTCACGATAACAATTGTAATTCTCTCTCTAATATTACTTTATACTGTTTTGCCAAGTACAAAAAGCGTAAACCTGTTGTGTACCAACTCCGTGTTGTAGTCGCGAAGCCGTCAATTTAGTTAGAAATTTAGATACCTAAAAATGTATTTAATTATGTACCTCTTAGATTTAATCATAGGAAGTATTATAATTAGATATAATATAATAAGCACGGAATGGCGGTATTGTAACCCGTGCCTGCGTAAATTAAGAAAATTATAATTATTTAATTTTAAGGATTGACAGGGACTGTCCCATCTTATATTATCTTATCTTATTGCGCAAATTCAGTCGTCAAGGCCAAATGTTTTGGGTACAAAAAATATAGCTTGTTTTCAACTTATGAAGTATGCTTGGATCAAAAACAAATAATACCGAATCGGTAAACAATGCGAGTGTTGCTGTGTAAGTAGTAGGTACAAAAGTACAAAACATTTTGACTGGTTGATACGCAGATTAAACAAATATTTTTTATATTATAAGAGTTTAAAAGTCAGGATGGGAGAGAAAGTTCGGTGATAAGTGCGCGCAAATAAGAATAATACCACACAATACATTTCCTCCTGTCCTAAACTTGAACCTTAAATAACTTCAAAAAAATTTTTTACATGGAAAATTGAGTTCAAATTATACAAAAAATCTATGAAATAATTAATCCAATTATTAATTAAACCCAATGAGAAATTGAGAGGTTCACGATTAAATGATAGCCCTGTATATAATTTTATATGATATAATTTTTTTTTTTTAACTAGGTATACCATGAATCAGTAAACAGTGCTAGTGTTGCGATTTTTATACTCGACATACATTTTCGTCCAAATTGAAATCTTTATAAACAGACTTTATTTATATAGTCATGCACAAATATGGACAGAGGTACTGATTTATTTGACGAACACAAATCGTTTTAAAATCCATATTTTGTTATTTATGATTTAAATATGGTTTTAAAGTTATTTTCCTGTTGTATTATGTTTTGCAAGTTCTCAATTCTAATAGAATGTTTATACAGTTTTTTACAATAATAAACATTATGACTTGGCTGATATTTACAATTTTTATTAGAGATTTGAAACCTCATTCTGCTTTAAAATGACAATATAAAAAATAGGCTCATAAATAACACCTTTCCGTATACGAACCGTAAAACAAACTTAAAAAGACTAAGTCAATAAATTGTAGAATAACAATAACTACATGTTGTCTTAAAATACTGTAGTAGCACACAGTATGCTTACAGTCTAGTTAAGCAGTATATTATAACAGTTGAATATTTTATCTGTGTGATACAAAATATGACGAACATCAAGATTTTTCTTTTACTTAGCCTAGCAACGTATGCTTCGTAAGTATTTTTTTAAAATATTTTTTTTGGTATTAAAATTGTATAAAAAATGCCATCAAAATGAACGTTTACTTTCCAGGTATGGCGATGAAGAAATAACGGATAATTTAGATAATGGTTAGAAAAAATCATTTTTAATTAATTTGTTTTAATAATAATGTATTTAATTAAATTATAAGACAGAAATGCAGTTTTATTTCCAGTTGAATTTTTTATTTTAATTTTTGTTTGTAATTTGTGTACTCTCTTTGCTATAAAAAGAGGTAAGTCAAAAGCTATGTACACAAATTAAAAAAAAAAAAATTGTCTGGCTTTTAAACTGTATATGCGAATAGGGGTATGCCTGATGAATACTCGATAAAAATATAGGAGTATATTTATCATGTTTACAAGCACATAAAAAAACCCACATTATAAATCCAATATCTTCTCAGCTTCGCATTGAAGCTAAAACGTAAAAGATATGTACACATTATTTATGTGACGTCAGATTAGCCCATGCACAATTATGCTTTATAACGAGTGAAAGAAGTAAGTTTAACTGTTAGTGGTTAAGTAGGTCTTTAAGTTGTTTAAGTTATAGCGTCGGATTGGCAAATGTGAGATCATCTAATGACATGTAAAACTCCCTGAAAAGTTAGTTTGAAACATAAAAAAAAAAAATAGTAATTATTGTTTTTATTTGTTGATTACCAGAAACAGAAACTAAAATACAAAAAAATGAAGCTTCAGATACAACTTCACCTGAAAATAAAATAATAGCTGACCTGGAAATTCAGACTGAATCTGGTACAGCTCCATCTGAAAGTAAAATAATAGCTGACCTGGAAATTCAGACTGAATCTGGTACAGCTTCATCTGAAAATGAAATAAAAGCTAAAATTCAGGCTGAACCTCAAGTAAAATATACTATTTTTTTTGTTAAATCATTTATTATACTATTGTATAAAAACTTTTAGGAAATATTAATTCTATGGGACACTATAAGAGGCGACAGAAACTATATTAATGAAGAAACTTTCCTTACCTATTATAAAGATGAAGAACCGAATGAATTGTCAAGTGTTATAAAAGAATTCGGCCATCAGTATTTATTTAGTCAAAGTAATCGTTATTTTATTATTCTACACGTAATATTTGTACCACTCCAAAACATTTTATTGAAAAAAAAAAATTATCTTATGAAACATTTTTTTCCAACTTTGATAAGATGTTCGAAGGTACATTTTGTCATATTTTAATTTTGTATTTTAGCGTCGGGACCCTAGATATTTCTAACTTGATATGAACCAATTTCTTTACAAAAGATGCTCATAGATTGGAAATCTTACCTGAAACGTACTTTAGTGGGACGAAAATGTATTAAATTCACCGCTTCCATTTAAAAATCGAGAAAAAAATGCATAGTAAACATTTACATAATTTTGAAATCAAGGAAAATCCAAAATAAAATCATATAATACAATTGATAGTTAATTATTAAATAAGCTGGCTAAACCCCTTACAAATTTGGATTTGTTATACATGGCACAATCTTTACGAATATAAAACTTCTGAGGGGTTTTCATGAAAAATATGTCACCTTTTACAAGAAATGGAATTGAATGTGGTGTTATAAATTTCCAGAATTTTGATCAAGCTAGTTACTGGACGTCTTAATATGTGAACCAAAATTTAAAATATTATTTCGATTCTTTTAGATGTCACCCCCCGGTAGAGGTAGTTAATTATGTGGGACATCACAATTTATTATAATATAATACTGATTGTGTACAACATTTTAACAATCCTCCGAAATGTGGACATTTATGCTTAGTGTTTTTGTATAATTTATCTGAGGGTTTAGATTTGATACAACGAATGTTTTCAGCTCGATACTCAGTCATAGATGGTATTGTAAACTAGGGAAAAGTAGAAGTTTGTTCTAAATTGAAACACCTCCAAATTAATAGCCCATTCGCGTTTGTAGCATTTCAATAGTGATGAGGTAAGGGCCTCATAAATCTAGAGGAAAATAGGTATAAGAGTGGTAATAAACGACGATTGTGGACTACCTGTAATTTAGATACTATAACGACCGGTTGGAAATCTCATCTGAATTGCAGAAGACATACAAATAATAAAAAGGATACGTCTTCCCAAATTCTATGAAATTTGAAAATACAACAAATTTATTACGAAAAAAATTGGCAGCGTCATATGAGGGTAAGAGACATATGAGTAAAATAGACGCAACTATGGAGGCAACCAGAAACGATACACGAGAGCTATACTGAAGTATTGCTATCTATAAAAAATGTGTATACAAGATAGAAAACGAAATTGCAAACCCAATCTAAAGGGATTCGATACACAAAAATGAGTGATTTGACAATAAATCACTCGTATCCTGTAGAATCATTGCTTTATGTCAACTGACCTAAAAAAATTCCTAAGATTGGAACTAGATGCAAGCCCATGAAAACATGATTACAAAACAATCGAGGAATATATAAAGTCTGTCGAGGAAGCGATGGGTATAGACTTTGACATAAACAACATATAAGAAAATCCAGGGTTGACATCCGTTGCAAAAATGTGTTTGAACTTTTTTTGGGGAAAGTTCGGTCAAAAATCTCACTTAACCAAAACAGAGATTTCTATTGGATGATAAAATAGAAGTTTTAGCTTCGATGCAAAGCGAGAAGGTATTGGTTTTACTCTGATGTGGGCTTTTTTTTTCGCTGTATACACTGTAACTTTTTTAATACTAGACCAATTCCTTCGAATAGCAACTCTATAAATCACAAATTTTGTCTAGTTTGTACTTTGGGGGGGCAAAAGTTGAAAAAGTTTAAGCCTTCACAGGCGAAAGTTGAAAAAACAAAAAAAAAAACCGTACGAGTTTTTAAGTTAGAACTTTTACTGGCTATAGTATCGAGAAAAAGAGTCGGATCGAGTTGAAATGTATAAGAAATGTTTATTTGGTATGCCCGCGCACGTCAGTTTTGTCAAATTCAAAATATACCCATTTCCCGCCCCCCTAGGGGGGGGTACAAGTTTTTTTGTTTTTCGGGGTTTTTAGCCGTAATTTTAAAACTTTTGGGTTGAAAATTTGCCAGTAGTTGGAACTCATATGTATCCATAACATATTAAGCGGGTGAAAAATTCGGCACTACAGTTTTTTTTTAATTGCCGGAAAACCGTGTTTTCGCACATTGCGTATATTTTAACAAAAACACCTAAAGTCTTTAAAAAAAATTGATCAAATCATTAAAACAATTTTATTTATATCTATGCAGAATGATACTATTAAGTTTTGTGCTCAAGTACCACTTTTGACTTAAAGTTTACACAAAGTTCATTTTTTTTTTTTTTCTCGTAAACATTTAACATCATGATACTGCTCCTATGCTATTATTAAAAAAAAAAAATTTTTAAAATCTCCATAAAAGGTTATTGTTAAATAACAGGCAACAGCCGACTGCTAGTGGCTATACACGTTAGTAATATTTAACTAATAAGTAATAAATGTAGGTAAAATTTATTGTTTTCTCCATCACAGTACCAGTATACGATTTATTTTAATTTAAATGTAAGAAAATCGATTTTTCTTTAGAAAATAACAAGAAATTAATATACAGGATGAGGCAGTAAAACGGCGATTTTCTAATGTATTTAAATGGTAAAACCCGTTTCACTATCCCACCCTTTACATTTTAAGGATCTATGAAAAGGTTTTTTTAGTTGCATTTTATTTTGTACATTGTCAATCTAGTAAAATAGAAGTATAATATAGCTTTGAAATAATATAATCTGTGAAGTATAAATAGTTTGTGTGAGATTGCTTTAATGGAAGTATATAATACATAAATATTAATTTTATCGAGAATAAGCGATTATAATTTAAACTATGGAGTACAAACGATTGAAACATGAATCGTCGACCATTCCAACAAAATATAACAAGACATTGTATATGTGTTATTTGGTCCACTAAGTTTTTGCAAAAAAAAAAAAACCAGTACAGTGGGGTCGAAGCATAGTGGGGACGGAGCATAGTTGGGTCGGGGCATTGTGGTGACGGGGAGGTCACAGGTTTACAGGAATTTTTAAATCTGAAAGTGATAAAATCACTTTCGAAAAAACGCTTCGATGCAAATCGGTAGTTAGTATTTTCTAGCCAGTACAGTCCAAACCAAGCACAGTATAAACCAGCAAAGTTAGAAAGTTTTAAATGAAGTTTCTGTATTTACAAATGAGCATCAAAGCGTTTATTTGAAAGCGATTTTATTCAATTTTATCACTTTTATTTATAATAATTCTTGTAGACCTGTGACCTCTCCGTTTCCTCATTGCTTTGATTACATTATGCCAATACTCTACTGTACTAGTCCTCTCGGATAAAATCACTTTCAAATTAACGCTTTGATGCTCATTTGTAAATACAGAAACTTCATTTAAAACTTTCTAACTTTGCTGGTTTATACTGTGCTTGGTTTGGACTGTACTGGCTAGAAAATACTAACTACCGATTTGCATCGAAGCGTTTTTTCGAAAGTGATTTTATCACTTTCAGATTTAAAAATTCCTGTAAACCTGTGACCTCCCCGTCACCACTATTCCCCGACCCAACTATGCTCCGTCCCCACTATGCACCGACCCCACTGTACTGGTTTTTTTATACTTCAGTATTTCTGAATGATGACGTGATTGAAGTGTCATATAAAAATACTAAGGAGTATATAAAAACCAATTATAACTCAAACGTCTATATTGCTGAATTCACAACATTTGACGTAAGACTACGGTTGTATGATATGCTTAATAAGTTGGGTAAAGCTGTCGTATAGGACACGGACAGTGTGTTCTATATCGATTATGGTAGTGCTGAAGTCCAAACGGAATGCATGTTAAGGGAATGGACAGACGAACTAGGACAAAAATATTGGACACAAGGGCGAGGGTATTGGCGATCCGCGATGGTAAAGTCAACTTATAATTAGGTGCAGCATGACGTGCATTGTCCTATGTGTGCGATTGTACCTCTACCTACAACCAGGTGAAATATGATCGTTATAGTAGTTTTTCAGACAGATCGATCAAGTATGAAATTTGTAATGTTAAAAATATATGGTCTGAAAACAACGGTCAACGTTTTATAAAGGGTAACATGAACTTGGATTGGACCAACGACAACTTTGTACTTGCTTACGATTTGTTCTACCGATTTATTTTACAATCTCAAAATTTAATTAAACCATCAATAACTACGGAATGGTTTTATTGCAATAAGAAACTCTTCTTGTATGTATTTGAAAGGGATTTTTATCACATTCGGTGTTTAGGGTTTCTGAAGACCCGTGACCTCCTCAATCCTAGTATGGTCCATTCCCAATATAAAATGATCTCACTGTGCTTGATTTTCTTTTGCTATAATGTGATGGTTTCTAGGTGACACTCAACCTGAATACATTATGTATTTTGACGAATTTGCAAGAGCTGCGTCTCAAGGCTACATACAAATATGTTCTACACAGGTGATGTCAAAACTATTATGACGTTATAACTTTATTCTATGTGCTTTATAGTTTCATACTGGTAAAAGTTGTTCTATAATAATTTTGTGTAACTTTTTAAAAAAATAAATTCTACGCGATGATTACTGTCTTCAAAGAAATTCTTTGGTTCGCACACAAACGAACCCACAAAAAACATGTTACCCTTAAAGACATGGCTAAATACTATGGATCAGTAATTCCTTTACATCCACGCAAATATTTTAAGACCTACAGAAAAAAATCAGTGTTTGGTAAATATGAATTTTAGGACCTACTTTTATAATCGTAAAATAAACTTGGGTGTTTATATAGTTTTAGCTAAGATGATTTGACAGTATTATGATACTATTTTAATTGTTTTTTTTATTATCAATTCAGTGGCGTACTTAGGAATTTTTCCTGGGGGGGGGGGGGTCCAGATAATTGTCATAGCAAAACTCAACTAAATTTTCAAATGCTAACCTTTCTTCATCAGTAAAAGTTGAAGTAAATAAACATTCAAACCCTTCAAACATTTTTAATAAAACATATTTATTACCGATTTTTTATAATACAAAGATAAATCAATAGCTATACCTTCAAAAGCTGATGGTTTAAAAATCGATTAGTAAGTTGGCTGATAAAATTGTCTACAAACGGCATAAACACTGTCACTTTTTAGTACTCTTCTACAGAAGAAACTTGGGGATTTGCTCTTTTTGATTGTTTTCTTGCTGTTCGTTTTTTAGATATTTTTATGCCATTAGCATTTGCTAAATTCTATTAAAATATTAAAAATTAATAATACTCTATGTTGTACTACATGAAAATAAGGCTTATATCACATACTTCTACTTTGTCAAATAAAAGATGAAATTCTTTTTTTGCATCCTGTTTCATTTCTTTTAAAGTATTTTTCAAATCAATGCGTTCTTTCTGTAGTTTTTTACAGACAGGCAGTCCAAAGGAAAAAAAGTCTAAAATATATTTATTGTGTTAATGTTTAAAAATTAGAATTTACCTTTGTAACATATAAAGAAATAAGAAACTCAGAATCCAATACAATTTTTAATAAAATATTAGCATCTATAGAAGATGGTGCATCCCATGTAGAATAAATTGTTTCAAGTGTTTTGACTACAAATGGTAACAACTCAACAAAATCGTTAAATGACTCATATTTCTGGACCCATTTTGTTGCACACTGCCTTTTAAATTGTTATTATTTTATTTAATTATTGTTGTAAATTATATTAACATACCTGAATGTTTTAATTTTTTATTTACATTTTGCGAATGGTCGTCATCACGTGATCTTTTCACATTTTTGCTACTATCAGCAGTACTATTTTATGATTACTGTACAACTTGTGTTTAATTCTTATATTTTGTCTTGATTCACGTACATACACACCTCAATATCCAACAATTATGATTAAAAAAAATGTTTTTTCAAATTAATAATTAATAATAACATAAAAAACAAAATTTCACATGTTTAAATTAAATATTAATGGGACCATGGGGGGGGGGTCCGGATCCCATGGACTCCTCCCCCATAAATACGCCACTGTAACCGATATCAACCCAACTTAATCTAATTAATGAAGAAACAACTGTTTTTGTAATATTGCCAATTAGTATAGACTATACAATTATGTATTTCACTTCTATGTTTAAAAATATAGAGAAAATACTAATGAAAACGCTTATCAGCCCAAACTTTCAGGATATTATTGAAATATTAAAAAAATGTTCTCAGTTTTGTTGTAAAACTATAAAAGAGTTTAATATTTATTAATTATTTTTATTCTATTTCTAGTAATTTATTGTTGGTGGTTTTCAGGTAGATTATTTCGAATAACATTCCCTGAGTTTAAAAAAGCCATAAACATGGGTGCCCTTCCAAAACCTGTGCGTGATGTAATTGCATTTCAGACGGTACATTTTGTTTGTTTTTATTTATATTAGCTATTAATAAGGGTATACTTAATATGTGCGCCTGTACCCAGGGATATTTAGTTCGAACATGTACATATTTTACATGCATGTTTAAGAACCATTCCTCTCCCTCTTTGTAATTCTTGTGCAAGACTAAGACAGGGCTACATCAGCTGTTTCACAGACACCTCAAAATATGAACATAACTTATCGTGGGTCTAGAGTCTAGACAGAAAAAAAAATCATAATTTCAAAAACAATACCTTCTCAGTTCCTCGTCGAAGCTAAAATATGAATCACTTATTATATTGTTTTATTACTATTTTTTAGGAAATAGAATATCTATTTCACACAATGAAAACTAGAGACTATGTTTCTTACAGTGACATGTGCTGTTACTTCGAAGACTATGACCGCCAGGAATTCGCAAACACGACGAGGGATTACGGAACCGAACATGACCGTAAGCATGATGCTATATTTAATTAGCAGTTAACGGCTTAACAAAAAATAAAATAACTCAAATTATGTATAATTAATAACAATACGCTTTACGATAGTTGACAGCGAGGGCTATACACACGAATATAGAATGGAAATTGATAAATTTAAGGAGATCGGGTCAAAGGGACTCGTACCAAGATACGGCGAGAAGGTAATGTAATATTTCAAAATGTTTTTAATAATTGGGGTGGTAACGGATTTAACTGGTGGTAAATCAGTTTAATTTAAATTTAAAAAAAAATGAACGATGCGGTTAAACCGATAAATGCTTAACTGTAAGTCGTTAAAATAATATATTGTTAGGACCAAGTTTACGATTACCGATAAACAGGATAATCATTTTAACGTGAACCACTCGATATCTCATAGGGTTTAATAAGAAATTAAATTTTTTTTCTATTGTTATTCTCCTAGGTGACCTCAATTTTTCGCATTTTTTTTTTGATTTTACCATCCTCTAAACTTAGTTTTTTTGATAACAGCTTATTAAACTTAAATGGTAACGCATCCATTTCAACTTTATAAATTGAGAAAAATGTATTAACGATTTAAAATGGTTGATAACCAATTTTGAACAACTATTTTCAAAGTTATAAAAGTTTAATAGATAGGACGGAAGGGGAAGTGCGTGCAGAAAAAAAAATGATAAATTTCACCATTCCTCCTGCTCAAAACTTCAATAACTTTAAAAATAGTTATACAAAACTGGTTGTCGACCAGTCAAAATGTTTAGTACATTATTCTCAATTTTGAAAATCCCTACTTAGCGGCTTTAATAAACATTTTTAGTTGATGAAAAATGAATTTATGAAAATAATTCCAAAAAAACAACGCAAAGAGAGAGAATATGTTACTTTCAAGGAACTAACTGAATATTATGAAAAAAAAATTCCTTTATCTCAACTCGAATATATAATAAGTTACTACGGGGAAAAGCATGGTAAGCATATGATTTTGAATCACTACTTTTATTAATCGTAAAATTATCTAATGTAAGGTGGTGTTAATCAATTCAGTTTTAGCTAAGGTGGCGTTTTTATATTATAATCATTACTACTTCTTTACTTCGGATAATAATTATTTTAATCGAATATAACCTATTCCTGACCTTAACTAACCGATCTATATTTAATTTTACGTGCAAATATCTACACTATACACTATGCATGACTTAGTTAAGTATAATAAATCGGTAAAAATTGCACTTTTATTTGTTTAATACCTATTGCAAATCATTCGTCTAAGAATCTAAAACATATATGATCAACTCCTATCTTGTGTAAAATCTCCTCGGGTTCGCTTATGGATTTTTGATTCACACATAAAATGTACAAAATATACTCATTATTTAAATCAATACTGTTCATGTTTTACATGAACAGTATTGAACATTAACATTTTTTTGAACATTTCACCCTTTACTCCTTGAGCTCTTTTTGTAAAACACAGAACACTATAGTACAACATTTAAGTATTTTTAGTTATTTTTTCGTCGTTATATTTATAAAATAATTGTTTTCCAGATGAAGAATACCGATTAAATTTTAATGACTTTAAAAGGGCCACAAACAGTTATTATTTTCCAGATCTGTTATCTGATAAAATTACGGTAGTAAAATATAATATATTACTGTTCAAAAATGTTTCATATGATTTTTTTTGTACGATTAAAAAAAAATTTGTTCAGGCGATATATACTCTATTTAAGAACATAATTCCAAAAACAGACAGTCGAAACCATATTTTGCTCAAAGACGCGATTAACTATTTTGGAACAGAAACATACCTTGAATGTACGCTCATTCGACTTTTCCAAAAATACGGAAAATTCGAACATGGTATATATAAATTTCAATAAAAGCATTTATGTATCTTAGGTTTAGATTATATAATATTGCAGTTTTACAGTACTGAAAGCATAGCGTTCTAATTTAAATTACTTTGGATAGGCGTTCGGTACTTGTATACTACCGTACTAGATGTTGAACTACACTTTAAATGGAATGGTAAGTGTGATATTTATTAACTTCGTTAAAATTTAACCGCAAAACTGCCTTTTGTGGTACGCAGTTTTGTTAACATGTTTGTGGTTTAACAGTAATGTATAGTGTCTAATATCTATATCACTCGGTTTATTTTTCATATCTAGCCTAACCGAATCATAATACAATTTACTTGCAACTTAATCAATGCATTCATTTTTTTGGTTTTCCTTGGGTAGTAATTTAGTCTTGGATCAACAAAGAAAATACTTATTGCATTAAAATTTCCTGAAGCTAAAGAAATGATCGAAACCTACCTCGTGTATAACAAAATTATGTGTATAGTTAAACATAATTTATTCAATGGTGTTTACCTCCTTAGCAAAATATAACATATTAAAACCTAAATACTACTTTTTGTTTCAATCTTCTTATACACCTATTATGTTTGAAAAATATCACTGAATCCATATCTGTGTAAACATTTTAGCCTTTAAAAACTGTAATGCTATTTTTGGAACATGTTGTACTTCGCTTTTTAGGCGTGAAAAAATAAAACATTTTAATAGTAACTTTTAGTAATGTAATCATTTT